ACCACTCTCTCCTCATCCTAAGCCTCCTAAGAGAGAAGGAGAGGCTGTAACACAGCCATTGCAGGGCACAGTCCATGGTCCAGGCTCACTAAACGACTGAAGTCGGGAAATGCAGGACACTTCCCCATTCCCGCTGTAGGCTGCCTCACTAAGGCTGATAGACATTTACCTTTCCTTGAGTTCCTTATTCCTAGTCAGCCATGGCTGCTTTTAACCAAAAGCCAGAAAGAAAAAAATATATGATAAAATAAAAAAGGAAAAGGCCCATTTTGAAGAGGCAGAGCAAACATCCGACCCAGCTATCACACTGGGAGTTTAAAGCAATCATGATTAAAACACTAAGGGCTGGTGGATAACACAGACAGCATGCATGAGCAGATGGGCAGTGTGAACTCAGAGAGGGCCAGTCTAGAAAGAGCCAAATGGAAAGACTAACTATCACGAAAACACAATAACCAAAATGAAAACCAATTTGACGAGATCGTTAGGAGTCAGGATTCAGCAGAGGTAAACCCAAATCTCTGAGCTTCAGTACAAACCACTAGAAATACTAGAAGCTGGAAAGCAAAGGATGGAGAAAGACTGAAAAAACAAAGTAGAATATCCAAAAACCAGGACAAGTACTGAAGGTGTAAACACAGAAGTGCCAGGAATACTAAGCACTGAGGCTTCACCAGACTGGAGTCAACCACAGATCTCAGCAACCAGGAGCGGGATGCTGCCACAAAAACAAGACAAACCCAGGCATGCCACATTAAACCACACAAATATCAAAAGCAACAACAACCATGAAAGGAGCCATAGATAAACTATTGCCCAACTGTCTTAGCGTCTTTTCCAATGTGATGAAATGCTCTGACCAAAGCAACTTGAGGAGAAGGGCTATTCCGGTTCCCAGCTCAAATGCACCGTCTACAGAGCCAGCGAAGTTAAGACAGCAGCGAGAGCTCAAAGCCGCTCATCACGCGGCTCCTATAATCACGAAGCAGAGAGGGCTTGGGTGCCCGCTGCTGCCCAGTTCCCATTAACACAGCCGGATCCCAGCCAGGGAATGATGCCCACCACGGTGGACAGGTTCCCATGTCAATGAACACAATCTAGATAATCCCCCACAGACCTCCCCGGGGAAGTTAGAGTCTATCAAGCTGACAATCAACACTAACCTTCAGAGACATAAAGATAAGGATCGCCCCAACATCTCAAAACCAAAGTGTGCAGACAGAAAATGCACACCAACCTACATATCTATCTGCACCCCATGAAATCACCCCCCAAAGTGAAGGGGAAATGGAGATTTTCTCAGACAAAGAAAGATCAAGTGAACGTGCTGCTAGTAGTTGGGTGTCACACAACGTACCAGAGGAGGTGGAGCTCACTACAAAGAAGGTAAATGGTTCAGGTCCTGCTCCAGACATACTCAAAGGCAGGAAGACTCTCCGAGAGAGAGCCAAGGCAAGTGAGTTCCATTTTGTCATTATTAGGAACCTAGCATAGAAGTTTAACCAAAATAATAGCAGCATGAGTAGGCAAGACTGTTCAGAGGGTAAAGGCACTGGCCACTGATGACCTGAGTGTGATCCCTAGGATCCACGTGGCAGAGGGAGAGAACTGACTCCCATGAGTTGTCCTCTGACTGCCATACATCCAGACATACATGCATACAGACATGTAGTAGAAATAACAGTGACAATGTGCATGTAGATGTACATTTATAAAGGACATGAAGGAAAGCAATGGCCCATGGACTGGAACACGGGGCTATGTTGTTATCAGAACGTATTTCCACTGTCCATGAAGCAGTACAGTGTGTGAACATATGAACAGACTTGAGGGCAACCACTAAAGAAAGAATTAAAAGAAGCAGACTGAGGGCTGTGGAGATAGCTCACCCAACACTGAGGACCTGCGTGCGGATCCCCAGCCCCTTCACAAAAAAGCTGCGTGCTTTGTGCCATGCCTGTGATCTCAGTGGAGGCAGAGAGGGTGAGTTCCTGGTGCTCACTGCCAGCCAGCCTCGATGAGTCAGTGAGCTCCCGATTCGGGGAGAGACCCTGCCTCAAAAACACCACACACAGTGATCGAGGACAACACCTGACTTTGACTTCTACCTTACACATACATACACACGAACATGCCTCCCTAGATAGGTACACACCCACACCCACACCCACATAGACACATACATATACCACACTCATACACAAAGGAAGCACATTTTATCTGATCCAAAATTGAAATATAAAAATGTCCAATTAAAAACAAGGCCGGGCGGTGGTGGCGCATGCCTTTAATCCCAGCACTCGGGAGGCAGAGCCAGGCGGATCTCTGTGAGTTCGAGGCCAGCCTGGACTACCAAGTGAGTTCCAGGAAAGGCGCAAAGCTACACAGAGAAACCCTGTCTCGAAAAAACCAAAAAAAAAAAAAAAACAAGATAAGGGCCGGGCGTTGGTGGCACACGCCTTTGATCCCAGCACTCGGGAGGCAGAGCCAGGCGGATCTCTGTGAGTTTGAGGCCAGCCTGGGCTATCAAGTGAGTTCCAGGAAAGGCACAAAGCTACACAGAGAAAACCTGTCTCAAGAAAAAAAAAAAAGAAGAAGAAGAAGAAAAAGAGCGGACCACACCACAGGGGCGAAAACCAAGGCCAGTGAACAGAGAAGAAGTACCAACACGACAGCCAGCAGCCTGAGCTTCATAATCACGTTAAGCACAGCTTGCCAGACTGGTTTAAAAAAAAAAAAAAATCCAGCCGCACGCTATCTGCAGCCCCGTATTAAATATGAGATGGAGACGAGATGGGGAAGGGTGTGCCGTGCTAGCGCTAATCAAATCAAAGCGAGGTAACGACATTCGTTTCCAACAGACCAGACTCGGAGAAAACAACTGTATCAAGGATAAAGGCAGCTTTAGTCAGGGGCCAGCTCTCCAAGGATATTTAACAATGCTGCGCAGCTACACAGCATCTCAGTCTCCGAGAAGAACTACGAGGAGGGCTGGGGAGATGGCCCAGTGGGTAAGACACTTGCTTTGCAAGCCTGAGGACCCCAATTCAAATCTACAACACCCATATAAAAAGCCAGGTGTGGCCACGCACGCACTGACCTGTAGCCCCAGCACTGCCTGGGGCAGAGGCAGGAGGGCTTCTGGGACATGCTGGTCACCAGCCCAGCTCCAGGTTCAGTGAGAGACCCTGTCTCAAAGGAATAAGGCAGAGAGTGATATGGCAGGACACCCGATGTCCTCCTCTGACCTCTGAGTGTGCATGGGTGCATGCACCCACACAGACACACACAAATAAATAAATGAAGATGTATTTTAACTGAGTATATAAAAATTTAACTAAGACTATAATTTATCAAAAGTTATCTTTCGATAGAGGGAAAGACCAAAATCAGTAATCTAAACATCTACTTTAAGAAACTAGACAAAGAAGAGAAAATTAAATCAAAAGTAAGAAGGCTGCCGGGCGGTGGTGGCACACGCCTTTAATCCCAGCACTCGGGAGGCAGAGGCAGGCGGATCTCTGTGAGTTCAAGGCCAGCCTGGTCTACGGCGCGAGATCCAGGAAAGGCGCAAAGCTACACAGAGAAACCCTGTCTCGAAAAACCAAAAAAGTAAGAAGGCTAAGATAAATAGCTAAATCTAGGCAGAAACCAATAAAATGGAAGACAAAAAGTCAACAGAGAAAAATCAGCAAAAACCGAAAGCTAGTACTCTGAAAAGGTCCATAAAATCAGCAAGCCACTAGCGGAAGCTTGCCCTGGGATGAGTCCCAGATTCTTGCCTCATTTTGGAATCAAGGGAACAGACAGGTAGACAAAACACTAGGTCATTTCCTTCTTCCCTTCATTAAATTAATTTCTATAAATTAAATAACACTGCTGAACAGCTATTAAGTGCTAGCTGTGGTTCTAAGCCTGGGATTATCCCTGTACAACAAACACAACAAAAAAGTTGTTGGCAAAAGCTACAAGAGCTCCTGGGGCTTACCCAACATGCACTGCATATGTGCAGGACACCCATTAGAGCTTAGCATGCTGGGAACTTCTCCCTTAAGAAAACTGGAAGCCAGAAGTTAGGTCAGAAGGGCCATACCTTTACCAATGCTCAAAAGCTGGCTGGCTTTCTCAGAGCAAATGGAGAGCTTGTGCTGACACATTTGGCTGACACAGAGGTTTGCTGAGTGAGGCATGATGTGTCCTGAGAAGGTCCCACCCTCACCTCACGGAGAATCTGAAGACCAGGCCTGACTGAAGGTGGTGTATGGAGATGAGGGTGCATTAACCCTGACAGGTACTTCTCACTTCTCGTGACTTCCAGCCCTTCACACATCCCAGCAAACGGGAGAATGCCACCACTTCAGATTCTCCTTACTTCAGAGGTTATCGAATCAACAACTTCAAGAACATTTACTAACCTGAGAAGGATTCATGGATATATAAAGTAAAGAAAGGAAGACATGGTCATTCTCAGGTACATCTCAACCCCGTAAATGTTAAATGTGGAGTTCTTCCTCTTTAGGAAGTAGGATGTGTCCAAAGGAAAGCATCAAATGTGCACCAAATAATGCTACATGGCCAGAGATCACAAAGATTCTCTTCCTTTTGATTCTCATATTATGTTTTCCTTGAATAGTGTGTATTACTAAAATAACAAAATCATCTATGACTTGTTTTTTTAAAGGCCTCCTTTACAAATAAAAGGCAATTCCAGCTCCTTACTGTGTCCTGAGAAAAGTAACTAAACCTGTAATCACACGCAAGTCTGAATCCAAGGCTGTCTCTAGCCTGCCTTCACACACAGCAAAGTGTGATGACCAAAGCAGAATAGAGAGCACAGTTATAGAGTCCAGACAAACCAAATCCCAGCCAAGAAGGTGGCGGGGGCCCCCAGGGATCCCCTTCACACTGGCATACCAGCCCACATGCCCCCACAAAGTGACACCAGCATACCAGCCCACACCCCCCCAGGAAGTGAGGCTGGTGGGCTATGCCAACCTTACCTCTGCCAGGCGCGAGTGCTTGTGGACATTCTCTCCCTTCTGTACACTAGGGGCCAGCTGCTGCAGGACGCCCCTGCTGCTTGTCAGAGCTCTGGTCAGCCGAGCAAACTTCCCCCAACCTGAAGCAGGCAGAAGAGCACAGAGACAAGGTCAGCCATACACCAAAAGAACACGGGCATTCTCACCCAGCGATACCACAGGACAATGCCCAGTGTCCTCTGGAGCTCCCATGAGTCCATCAATTCACCCTGAAGTTTTGAGGTTGGGGCAGCAACTTGTTTTCCCAACATACTTGAGGTCCATTCTGATCACAGCCTTGACACAGCAGGGCAGGTGTCAGGAACTTTACACACATAAGGAGGAGGCCAGTGCACCGACATTGGAGCAAGTGTCGAGTCCAGACTTCGCTGCTCAAGGCTCTTTCACTGACTCACACCAGGTGATGGAGATGGTTCTCTGCCTTGGGTGACTTGCCTCAGGCTAGTCTCAACTCCTCCATCCTCTGATCTTGCAGCAACTGAGCTGCAAAGTGGAGTTTGTAAATGATGCCACTAGCCAGGTTTGCATTGTCTTCTCCAAGACCAAGAAATGAATGATCGACTTCTGGGTGTGTGAAGGAAGGCACTGGCTGATTTGATCAGTGTGGGGAGGGGGAAGGTCATAGCGTGCAGGTGTTTTCAGAGAATCTAAGAAGTCTACATGATCCTTGCTGCCCTAAAGTCCCCTAGATACAATATTCCAACACTCAACAGACAACATCTGAATCAAGGTTTTGTGCTGACCCATGAGACCTCTGAAAGCTTGTCAGGTCTCAAGACCAGGCTCTCCATACACATGTACATGGGGCTCACAGCAAATAAACAGAGCATGCAACTATTATCATGTGTGATGCTGAGATGTTGGTGCCTTCTGAGAAACTTCATCTTCTAAGTTTTACTGTGGAGCACCTTCCCAAGACTGATCTAGAATCCAGAGGACTGTCAGACTAGGGAGAACGGCTTGGTCTTTTTATGACCTTTAGAATTTTTCATCTGATAAGCTTTGCTCAATACAACAAGAACAGTAGATCAGCTCTAAGCTGACTTCACTCAGAAGCACCATGCTCTAAGGGACACCAGTGGCACCTTCATCCCCCACACCCCACTCTAGGAAGAGAGACGCGGAACTCTGTGACTTTCAGACCTGGTGCACAGTGACGGTTGGAGCCTCACTGGAGTCAGCAGGAGGGACAGCCTAGACGCTGCAGAGGGTGCTGACATCTTCCCATGGACACCACTACTGACGGTGCTCAGTGGGATGTGCTTTTTAAAATCTCCGCCAAAGACAGTTTCTCCTTCAACTTAGAGCAGCGCTGACCCTGAGCAGCGGATGCACAGGTGGCCAGCACGAACCACTGCCTGTATGTCCGTGAATTGTGAACCCACACAAGTGGCCAGTGTGCAACACTCCAGTCTTTTCCCCATCAGTGTGCAAACATGAAAAAGTCTACAGTGGCTACATCAGCAGCTTCACTCACTAATGACCTTCCCATTATCCCCTGGGCAGAGATGATCCGTCAGCACTGGGAGGAGCCCTCATCCTCCAGTATTCTAATCCCGGCCCTTAGAAAACCCTCTCTGGAGTTCCCCCTTTGGTCAGGCTCACTTCCGACTGTAAGGTTCAACACACAGTGAGTCTGCACCTTTGCCACAAGTTTCAAGGAAAGAAGAGGGTGACTCAAGTTTCGTGAGCAATGCAGAGGTGAAGGTCAAAGGTCAAAGCCTCGCACTCCTCTCCCCACACACTCAGCCTCTCAGCTTAGAAGAGGAAAGCAAAAGCCATACTGCCTGCCCTCCATAAAAGAAGTAAAGAGATAAAGACCCATCGGCCGAGCGTGATGCATCCTCATCTTAGCCTCACTATAGCCCACCCACCCGCTACCAGACAGAAACCCCTGCTGACTCTCAGTCCCTGCTCAGTGACATGCATGTGGCACTTTATTAGTCAAGGGGATAGCAGAGTGAAATGGAAGTGGGAGCTGAGAGTGAAGAGGGGCTGAGGAGGCATCCCAGAGCCCAGCTTCAGCGCCCGGGCTCCACACCAGAATGGTCAACTCTCTAATATCCAGTTGTTGGCCTTTTGTTGAGTTAGCTGTTCAGAGAAAAGATGTTAGACACAGGCAGGCTTCCTCAACCACTCTCCGGATATACCCACACCACCCAGGCACTCAAAACGTGAAGCACAGGATCAAAGCCAAGTAATTTGAAACACGATTTGAACACACGTGAGTTAAAAAAGCTAATCAGATAGTAGGAACACCCCGAGGCTATTGGGGAGTTTTCTGCATGTTATTGCGTTCTTGCTTCCATTCTAGCTCATGCTGAATTCTAAACAGGCCCAGGGAGATGCTGACGGTGGTACTGAACTGTGAACCCCGCAGGATCAGTTGAAAATAACCAAGAGTATATCCAGAAAGCAAGGGCAAGCCAGAGCAATCCAGCCACATGCCAGCACTTTTCCCATCTGAATCAGATCACACCAATTCCCAGGCCTTTCCATCATAAAAGGACAAATATAAAATCTGACTTTGTCCTGAGCATATCACCGTGCTACCACAGTGGGCCAGGAAAGCAGAAGCATCACCCAGCATTGGACTTAGAAAGTCATGTCTTTGAGGTGGCATTAAGCTGGGATCCCTACCAGTATTCTCGTATTGAAAGCTAATGTGTGTGAGCATGTAGATGTATTTATACATATATGTGTACATGTATATACACATGTATGTGTATATGTGTACATATGTATATGCATATGTACATGCATGTGTGTATATGTATGCAAGTATGTTTCTGCATATGCACAGGTGTCTATATGTAAATATGTGTTATATATATATGTGTGTGTGTGTGTGTTCTAAGTTATCTACAAATAGCCACATGTTATTCATGTTATTTCATTGACAATAAGAATTAATACACAACAAGAAGTTACTTTGGCTAATAGGAAATAGTTAAGAGGGAGGGAGAGGTGGGCAGGGAGGGAGGGAGGGAGAGAGTGCACCGAGATTCTCATCAGCAACAAGATGCACCGTGGGGGCAGGTCAGGCTAAGTAAGTGGAGCACATGATTCTTGGAAAATAAACCCAAACAAGCCTCACACTATCGCTCTGATTCATCACTTCTTTCAGGTTTTGTGAGAATCAAGTAGATACTTATGAGCCAGATAAGAAACACACTCAGAAGGCTATGCCTTTCCTACAATAATAATAATCATCACATACCACTAGATCACAGCAGAAAACATTTGACATGACCAAACCACGTTATTTTAAATTTTCAAATAAACACTTGAAAAATAATTGTCAAAATAGCTGAATTCCCTTAAAACATCACTTTTGCGTTTGTTAGGTTAAAAGAAGCAAACAGCCTTTCTAAGCCTTTCACCATACACTATCTGCTACTCTAAGGAATCTTCAAATCAAAACTAGAAACAAGGCAGTGAGATGTCTGAAAGGAGAGGAAGACTCCAGAAAGGGAGACACTGCGGGGTCTTAACCAGGAGTCTGTCTGCAACTGACTCTGTGAACTGCACACCCTGGAGAAGGGTGGCACACGCCGGTGCACACAGCGCTGAGATCTGAACTCCATAAATGTGTCTAAATGTGACGCTATTTTAAACACCCTCAGAGACACAGACCAGGGCACATACTGGTGCCTCTTACCACCCCCCCATGACACTCATTTAACAGTCTTTGTCACATCCAGGGTGACATGCCCCAGCCTGCCTCTCCCCTGGACTCCACTGGCATTTCTCAGCTGCAGCCCAGGGATCCTCAACAGCACAGCTCTGGAGCAGAAAGCCAACCACAGAGCCAGGTAGCCTGGCAACACGAAACAGCTGCTGGGTTCTTGGTTAACTGAGTGCAAACCGAAGGAGAGGGGGTGAAAGAAGTACTCTGATACCCTGTGATCTCAGACTCCAACCTGCCATCTCCTTTCCAAAGCCTCCACTGTTATCCAAACAATGCACACCTACAATCTGACTAAAATCTAAGGCCATGCAGCTGATCAAAGACCCCTACAGAAATGTTGCTCGAGTCCCTGGCCTCACTAATGCCACATTTGAAATCAATTAACCAGCCACAGACTCAATGCGACCAGACACACATAAGTCACATTATGGGGTTCATACATGGGATTCAGAGCTTGGTGCTGGGTGTATGAGTATATCTAACTTTTTCCTAATTGTGTGATGGTTCAAATGAATGAATTCAGCGCATATTTTGGTTTCAAAACCATGGCAAACACACAATCCTTTACCAACATCTCGGTTTTCCTGGCATCTCCCCTTTCAGGTTCATCATTGTCTGATTTCTAGTTTTAATCTGAAGAGGCTGCAACAATCTACAAGTCAGACCCAAAGACATATACATGGACGTCATAAACATGGCCATGCTTATGCATGTGGGTGACCTTGAAAACCTGTCAAGAGCAATAGGTTAGTGGGAAAGCGATTGCCTAGCATGCACAAGGCCACACGTTTAATCTCCAGTAGGGGAGGGATGGAGGGAAAAGGGAAGGACACCTGGAAGTGTCCTAGTCAGATGTGCCTGGTTGCTTCCTGTCATCAAACTGTAACTGTGAAAGAGTTAATTTCTAAATGCTTTACCAAACAACATTTTCTGTCTCTCTCTTCCCCAAGCACACTGCAGAATAACATAATACCCGACACAAACTAAGATTTAAGTCTTGATCTCTGCACAAGATTGCCTTGGCAACCTCAAAATCAAGAGTCACAGGACAAAAAAAAACACATAAATGTACTTGCACAGGGGGAAAAAAAACGTATAAATGTACTTGCACAGGAAAAAACATATAAATGTACTTGCACAGAGGAAAAAACGTATAAATGTACTTGCACAGAGGAAAAAACGTATAAATGTACTTGCACAAGCCAGAATTACGAACCTTTGCACGAGTCGTCCTCAATGGGCTGCTTGAAGGCTGTTATGTCACTGAATGTGCACAGGAACAGAACCACTTTATCCTGTTCATTCCGGATGGGAGCGATCTTCACAAAAAACCACACGGGTGTCCCTGAAAGGAACATCAAAAGGGTGGTCACCTGTTTGCTATCCTCATCTGAGGTCCTGGAGAATCAAGGACTTGGGAGTGAACAGATACAAATACTAATTCACTGTTACTTCAGGCACGGGCATATCTCACAGTCTCTTTTTTCTTGCTGGGATGAAAACTTACAGAGTGACCACACAGCAGGGACTTTCTTATTGTCACAGAGTCTGAAATCTCATCAAACAGAAAGCAGCTTGAAAATCTCACCAGCACTCATGGAAGAAACTTAAGTACAGAGAACTAAAGACTTCTGAGAGCTCAGGGTAAGAGTAAAAAGTGCAGGCCGAGGTGGATACTGCCAACCACAGACAGACTCTGTCCCTGGCTGAAGAGTCCCACTGTCCACATGCAGCCTGTGAAACTATCATCCTGTGCACATGCTTGAGCAAGCATGGGCCAAAAGCTGAATTTGTGTAAGTATGAATAACCCTAAAATGTATAAGCAGTCAGAAAACAGATCAAATGAAAATATGTCACCCCTAAATCTTGGTTACCGAAATACACATCCATGGTTAATGCTCATCTTCCTCCCCTCTGCATAATTTTAACTGTCAGATCTGGGATGCTCTGAGAAAGCCAGTGGATTATAATGCCACCCTAAGAAAAGCACACTTTGAAAGAAAATCCACAGTTCAGAAGAACAGCATTTCAAAACCAAGAAAAAAAACATGACCTTGGAATTGTCCACTGTTTTTGGAAGGTTTCGGTACCTGCATTTTCGGGGGCCTCTGCAGAACCTGTGGGACCTGAAACCTTCTGCACCAAAGCAAGCAAAAATAAACCGGAAAGAGTGCAGCAGCACCAAGCCACATCTGGCCGTAGTCTAGCCGACAACACAGAGCAAACAGGCCAGGAAAACACCTTCTCTTGGCTGCAAAGAAACCAGATGGGAGGAGCCACACCCATGTGGGGACCAGGAGCCTCACCTCCCATCCTCCTAGCCCCACTTCCTACAGGGCTCCAGTCCTCAGAGCCTCCTCCCCTGCCCTGCAGGAAGCAGCTGGGCCCGATGCCTCAGGGCACATTCAGTAGGGCTGCACTGCCTGTTTATATCCCAACTGCCAAGTCTTGTGAGAACCCACTCCTCTGAGGTCTTGAGAACCACCGCACCCATCATGTTGGGGAGCCTCTGTCCCTTCTCCAGAGCTCTGGCTCATCAAGAACTCCCTACATTTCAGCAGCGCCATCTGTATAAGCTGCATGCCTCTCTCTGCCCAGTTCCGCTCACTGTCATTTCGAGAAATAAATGCTCCCTGATTAAACACATATCATTCTGATCATTTCCTTTCTGTCTAAATAGATAGCTGGTATCAAAAGTTCATATTGCCATAGAGTTCATCTTGAGGTGGTCCCCAGGGCTAGTAAGGAGGCAGGAACCTCCTGTTCCTGGTGTGCAGCTTCCTTTGGAGGGACATCTTTCCATGTGACCCCCAAGGCCTTTCCTCGTGGGCTGGTAATTCAGGAGACAAGAACTCTGCTCCATTCTGCTCCCCTGCTTTAAAAATGGTGGGAGGAAATGCAAAGGCCAGAGTGACGGCTGATGGGAGGAGAGGCCTAGGATTCTCGGGTGCTCCCCATGGCAGGTGGATAAGTCTGTGTGTTGCAGGGTCACTTTTAGAAAACTTTCCCACAGATACAAACCATACCCTCAGGATTAGCTTTCTCAGTCATAACAGTGACATTTTCATCTCTATCTCTTGATTCCTATATCTCAGTTGTTCTGATAATGGACAAGGAATTGTCCCCCTACCAAAAATAAAAAACATTAATAACTGAGGACTAGTTCCTTAAATAGCTCATAGTCCAGTCTATGGACAGGAGTCTCGACCTACTTTCTCTGTCTTACTACCCTGCGTGCCCATCCAGTGGCCTGTTCTGTACCAGGTAGTCATTGCTGGTAGATGTGTCAAAGACATCAATTCTGCGGCAGTGTCTTCCCAGACACTCAGGCCTTCCTCCATCCCAAACTATCACTAAGAAAGCAAGTGGAACAGATCAACTTTCCACGCCTGGAAATACTCCAGCAAGAATGGGAGTCCTCCAGTACAGACCAGAGATTTCAACCCATCCTCCTCACAGCAAAGCATTTACATCTAGTTCAGTGGTGCTCAATCCTCCTAATGCCGAGACCCTTTGACACAGTTAGTTCCTCAGGTTGTGGTGGCCCACAACCACAAAAGTATTTCGTTGCTACTTCATAACTGTAATTTTGTTACTGTTATGAATTGTAAATACCTGATATGCAGGATATCTGATATGCAACCCCCAAAGGGGCCATGACCCACAGGTTGAGAACCACTGACCTAGTGAGCCATCTTTCAGACTCTAAATAGATGAAAGAATTGCTTCAAGTGAACATGAACATTCTAGAGTCTGGACCCCCACCATCCAATCTCACATCTCCCTCTCTGGAGGTCCTAAGGAGAGTCAGGACCCTTTTGGCTCTTGGATTGATCTTCCTGCTGGCAGAGGTCAGAGCAGACAAACTCCAGAGGTCTCAGAACCCAGAACTGCAGCAAGACTATTCCATCATGATTCAGGCTAGCGATGAGCCCAGATATGCACATACAGAAAAGAGTAAGCGTGTGATGCCCCGTTCTGTGTCTGAGGAAGGTGGATGTACAAACCTAGGAAGGTAGTACCTGACAGAGTGGCTGATGGGGAGGCAGCTGCTGTTGCTGGGAGAGGGGTCCATTCGCAGCCAAAAATGGTCAATAGGAGGTAAGTTCCAGGTCAGACACCTTTCTCTATTCACTCTGATCCTCATCCCTAAGGAAGTCATATCCCCTACCACTTAGCCTGCCCTTGGCACATCCTCAACTCTGGTAGCCAGGAAACAAGACACAAGGCTTGGATGTATGAGAGATGTCTGAGCCTCCATCACTCTTCCTTAAGGCCCGCCCCCAGGTACTCTATATAACCAGACCTCTGGGCATCAGATCATGTTAAACAACAGCAGAACAGACCAACCTATGTTGGCCAGCTCTTGGGAAGGGTTCCATCATGCTGGCCATGCTGCTAGGTCCAGAAACGGGACTTAGGAAAAGCAGCCTGGCCCAGGAACAGACCATTTGGTCTGGGGTTAACTTCAACTAAGACAAATGCTGAATGCAGAAATGTGAGGCGGCATGGGGCAGGGGGAGTGGCCTCCCCAAGCCCAAGTCTCAATCCTTTCTCTCTTAACTATGAGCCCTGGTCATGGCAACTTAGTTTCCCTCAACATCAATTACCCACACACAAAACAGGGATAACTAACTTTCCAAGGATCAGGTAAAAATGAACATACGTAATGCATGGGTGTTCAGAGCCACCACTTCCCTTTCCTTCTTCCTTTCCAATTCTTCTTCTCACGCCTGAAATCCCCTGGGGCTGTTTCAAGGACTTAAAAGAAAATGTATCTCAAAGTGTTTGAGGAAACTCGCCCTGTTCTGAGGTGAGAGGGCCTTAACCACGGGAGGGGGGGGGGCTAGAAAAATCAATGCTTAGGACTCCACATAGTTAAAGAACATAGAATAAAACCTAAGTAATTGGAGAGTGGAGCTGCTTGTAGATAAGACAGTACAACCGGGTAAGAAGTCAGACCTCCTGCTTAATGTATAAATAAAATGCGATTTCTGTCAGAGTCACGGTGGGGCTTGGTGTGCTTTTCTTAAGAGCTTGATAAATTGGATTTCAACTCAAATAGAAAAATAAAGGTGGCCTTAGGGGACAAAAGATAGCGACAGTGACTACCTACTGTAATAATTAAGCATCACTGGCACTGTTTGCAAGACAAACAACTATGAAAACATCATCCTTTACTGAGTACTTGCAATGAGCCAGGCTCTGACAGGATACAGTTTATACCTCACAGTGCTGTGAGGGGGGATAGCTACCGTAACTTTAACCCTGTAGTAAGCATGGAAAGCTTCACAGTGCTGTGAGGGGGGATAGCTACTGTAACTTTAACCCTGTAGTAAGCATGGAAAGCTTCACAGTGCTGTGAGGGGGGATAGCTACTGTAACTTTAACCCTGTAGTAAGCATGGAAAGCCCAAGAGAGTGGGTGCTGCACCCACTCACACAGCAGAAGATCAAGAAGACAGAAACACACAGGCAGATATGAGGATTTACTGTATAAAGAAAAGGGTGGAGCTGCAGAGAGGGCTCAGGAGAGAAGCCTATACAAATGTGAGCATCTGAATTCAATCGCCACAACCCATCTGAAAGAGTTGGCCATAGTGGTTCACATATGTAATCCAAGCACTGGAGAAGCAGAGGCAGGAAACTCTCAAGGGCTCCCTGACCAGCCAGTCTGCTCAAGAAGCTGTAGGCCAATGAGAGACCCTGTCTCAAAATACAAGGTGGATGACTCCGAAAGAATGACATGGAGATTGTCCCTTGGCCTGCACACACACGCGCGCACACACACACACACACACACACACACACACACACACACATTCATACTCACATGCATGCAAGTACACACACAAATAAGCAAGCATGTGCACACAAGTGCACACATACACCAGCACACACATGAACACACAGAAACAAAAGAAGAAAAGGGAATTTCAAATCAAGAAGAACTGAACTATTTAATAAACAATACTGTGACAATTCAATGAGCAATACATAAAATCAGTTTAAATACTAACCTCACATAATATATAAAAAATATTCCAAATTGTTTAATATTCTAAAGAATATTTTAACGCAACTATTTGGAGTAGAAAATGAAGAGTACTTTTATTACTTGGATGAGGAAAAAAGTTCCTGAAAACCTTCTATAAAACTCAGAAATAGCCGGGCGGTGGTGGCGCACGCCTTTAATCCCAGCACTCGGGAGGCAGAGCCAGGTGGATCTCTGTGAGTTCGAGGCCAGCCTGGGCTACCAAGTGAGTTCCAGGAAAAGGCGCAAAGCTACACAGAGAAACCCTGTCTCGAAAAACAAAAAAACAAAAAAAAACAAAAAAAAACTCAGAAACATGAAAAAAAACAGATGAAAAAAAATTCACATCTGCCAGACATTGTGGTGCATACCTTTAAACCCAGCACTCTAGGGACAGAAGTAGGCAGATTTCTGTGAATTTGAGGTTAGCCTGGTCTACAGGGTGAGATTCAGTCCCTCTGGAGCTACACAGTGAGATCCTGTCTCCAAAATTTTTTTCATTTCTATGTGTTTTTTTTTTAAGTTCCTAAACATAAAAGAGAATTTTAATATGGAAAACAGCCCTCAATGTGTGTTTGATTTGAGATTGATAGCCACAACACATCAGCAGCTCTTTCACAGAATAAAGAAAAGATGAGCCATTTAGAAAATGGACAAAATATGACTGTCTCAGGACTTATGTTTGTCTCCACCCATTCCTGAAAGGCAGAAGCTGTGTCTCCTGTGAGGGTCTCAGCTCAGCTACTGTCAGGGCTGAGCTGCCTGTGGGAACCAACAGCCCCTTGGCCAGTAGCTCCTTCTGCAAGCACTGGCCCAGTGGTACTGCTGCAGGACACCTGTCCCTGGGCATCTCTAACTGCACAGCTGCTCCAAGCTCAGAGACGCAGCTACCAACCATCCTCAAATATGGAGTCATACACACACTGTGGGGTGGCAGGTGCGGGGTGAGCAGACACTGGCCAGAGTTGCATGGCTTTTACTCAGAGGTAAGGTTTCTTGATTTTCTTGTTTGAAAAATGAGGAAATTAATAGGCCAGCATAAGAGTGAGCACATAATATTTGCTGAATTAGCTCATTCAACAATAATTACCATTATTGCAAGAAAACCGCACAGCCTCCTGAGTATGCAGTGACATGACAAAAGATACAGCACTCTAGGGATGCCAGGTTTTCCGACCAACCAACAGATGGAAAAGCATCAGAATAACCCATCTCCCAACATACAAAACCCCACACACGCCCCCAACCACCCCACTGAAGCCTTTTGCTACTCACCCTCAGCTCCCCAAAAGGGTGGACAAAAAGCTGGTGCATGTAGTCAAAGTTTTCTCCGGTCCTGCCTGACCCCACAGTCCCGCAGCCACTTATAAAACAATCACTCAGAGGCTTAATATTAATTGCAAACTGTATGGTCTATGGCGAAGAATTCTTGCTAGCTAGCTGTTTCATCTTAAATCAACCTATTTCTATTAATCTATATGTTGCCACATGGCCATGGCATTACCCGTCTGCTGACATCTTGTTGGCAGGCTCATATCTCTCTGCCTCTGCCTTTCTTCCTTCCTGTCTCTCTCCTTGGATTTCCCACCTGGCTCTTATCCTGCCTTTCCATAGGCCAAAGCAGCTTATTTATTAACCAGTGGGAACAACATATATTCACAGTGTACAGAAAGACATCCCCCAGCAGGTGCCTATGAGTAGAAGATCCCCATAAACACTAACATGTGAGAAAGAGAAAGAAAAGTCACAATGCTCCGAGGAGCTTGTCCACCTGGCTTGGAGGGTAAAGAGCTTGCCAAGCAAATATGAAGACTGGAGTTCAGGTCCCAGAACTCACACAAAGCACTTTTACCCCAGCACTCAGGAGACAGAGACAGGGAATCCCCAGAGCAATCTGAGCCCCTATTTCAGCAAACAAAGTGTCGAACAAGGGGGACACCAAACATCAGCTTCTGGTCTCCATGAGCACATGCATGTACACACACACACACACACACACACACACACACACACACACACACACCCATACACACTACACATGCAGGCATGTACACACATACATGCTCAAAAACATTAAAAGGCTTATAAATACCAGTGGGAAAATCGCTAGAATTAAACAGAATAGAAAGACCTAGAATCTGAACATGTAACATTAAAAAGGTGATTTTAATGAATAGAGGGGTGGTCTGAATGAAAATAGCCCCATAAACTCATAGGGAGTAGCATTATTGGGGGAGCAGCCTTGTTGGAGGAAGTGTGTCACTGGGGGGTGGGCTTTGAGGTCTCAGAAGCTCAAGCCAGGCCTACTGGCTCACTCATTCTTCCTGCTGCCTACAGATCCAGATGTAGCCCTCTCAGCTACCTCTCCAGCACTGTGTCTGCCTGCATGCCACCATGCTTCCCGCCATGATGATAATGGACTAAATCTGTGAACTGTAACCCAGCCCCAATTAAATGCTTTCCTTTGTAAGAGCTGCCATAGTCACGGTGTCTCTTCACAGCAATAAGACCCTGAGAAGGACAGATGGGAAGAAAAGCAATTCAGTCTCACTGGTGCTAACAATAGAGCCAACACTGTTAGCGCAGGTGTAGGTGAGCCAGTCCCAAAACTGTGACCATGGGAGAGCTGTCCCTATTTCCCAACCGGTGGACCAACCCTACCACTGCCCAGGCCCAAAACCCAGGTTGTGACTTGGCCCACCCCAACATCCACCCCATCTATGATCTGCTGGAGCATGTGAAGGGACCTGACCTGCAGACCCAAAGCTGCAGGATCTCCAAAACACAGGGCAGTATTGGGATGTCCCAGAAGAGTCCTAGGGGCCCAGCATCAAACATGTAGTGGAGACCAGGGGCCTCGAACCAGACCAACGACTCTTTGCAATGAACACTTGCAAGTAGAGATGTATGGACAAAGAGGTATATGGTGTGACTTGGGTCATACTGCAATTTCCATTACGAGATTTTTAATTTCTTCCCTTTTTTTATGTTTCTCATTTTCCCTTCCTTTTTTTTTTCTCTTGAATTTTGTTTTATTGGGGAGGGGGATGCAGGGGTGGAGGGTGGATGCAAAGGGATGAGGGATGAATGGGATCAAGATACATGATGTGAAAAACACATAGAATAAATAAATAAAAGTGAAATCACTTAACAATTTAAACTTTGTCTCCTTTTCTTTCCCTTTTCTTTCAAACGTGTAGTTGAATTTGGACAAGCTGAATGCATAGTCTAATGAGGCTTTAAAACTGAAGCAAACAGAAAAGCAAGGCATTCTTTATGTGATAAGCCTACCAATTAGTGTTCTGTACCTTGGGGCAAGTCACACTGTTCAGTACATAAAGGCTCCAGTGTAGAAAACCACAACCTTTACTCTATTAGCTCAGGGCACATGTGCAGCCCATGCCTCCTCCATAAGAAGACTGCTGTGGGCATGCTCCTGGTCAGAGCTGTGGCCTGGAAGGACCAGCCTAGAGCCCCTTGAAATCCTTTGCCTCATTCCTCCTGCTAACAGAGGGGTAGAAAGGGGAGCTACCACTAAGCTAGCGTGAGGACAAGCTGCAGGAACAGTGCTGTTGAATTTGCTCATGACCAGAGCGACATCTGCATGACCACCAATGGAACAGTCCCCTCATTTGCCTGACCCAGCATTCCACACTGACAGGAAAGAGCCCCAGCTTCTTCCAGATACCCTTTGCTTTCCAAAGCCAACTGTCAATCACTGCACCTGGAATACCACCACCTACACACACACCCTAGTGCCCCATCTGAGCCACTCCTGAAATGTTATTGAACCAATAACCAACCAACCCTACGGTTGTAAAAAGCAGGATTGTGTGTATGCATGTTTACCTGTGTGTATATACATGTGTGTAGGTGCACACGTGTGTACACAGGTGTGAAGCAGATCAGAGGGTGACATGAGGTATCTTCCTCAATCGAAGAATAGAATTATTTATAAACAAAGTAGTTCTTAGAAACAGAACCAGGGGCCTGGGAGTATAGCTCAGCTGGTAGAATGCCTGCCTGGCACACACGGATCTCTGGGTTTGATCTATAGCACAACTCCCCAACGGAACCAAGGAGTCCTGCCCTGTCGCATGCTCCACCTTCCTCGCTTCCTGGGGTAGCTCACTCTGCCAAGCAAGACGCCTCCTAAGAGAAAAACAAGTTCTACACTTGAGCATGGCTACGGACTTCATTACACACTTGGTGGAAGTAACTGTGGCCAAAACAAAGGCAAATGCGCCATGCCCTGCTGTTAGCGCTGCCTCGGGGTCAACAGGAGAACTGGCGCCTTCCACCAGCAATTCATAAATGAACCAAGAGGAAAAACTCTAACTCAGGGGGAAAACAGATGAAGTCTTAATTGTTAGTGACACACAATTACTTCCGGTACCTAGATGATGGGAAAGAGGAAAAACCACTCTCCACTCTCAGCACACAGAAGGAGAGCTGCAGTTGTCTGATACTCACTGTTCTTCTTGTACATCAGGATTTCAAAGGAATTCATTTCGTAGTTCTCAAAGGTCTGGCGCACCTTCTCTATCGTGTCCTTGTCGGTCAGCTCTCCATACATAAAACTGAAAGTCAACCCAAAAGCTCATTAGCAACTCAGCAAGTATTCCTTTGTCTGCAAGCGCATGTTCAATATCTGTTCCACACCAAGCACTGAACACACACACATTGTAGTGATATATTGTGTCCCCCAATATATTGTGCACCCTAATAAAGCTTATCTGAGGATCAGGAAAAAGCCAGCCACTATAGTAAACATAGAAGTTAGGCTATGTTAGCACACACCTTTAATCCCAGCACTAACCATAGAGGTCTGGAGGTCTGCACAGACAGACAGGAAGTGATGTAGCTGGGCAGAGAGAGGAAGTGAGATGCAGAACAGACAGGCACATAGGCATGGGTATACAGGAACTAGGTCTCTTTGGCTGAGGATTTCCAAGTGGTAAGAACGTGGCTGGCTTCTTTCTGTTTTTCTGATCTCTCAGATTTTACCCCAATGTCTGGCTCTGGGTTTTGTTTATTAATAAGACCGTTTAGCAATTCGTCCTATAATACACACATAAATACACATACATACATGCACACACAAACATTCACAAACACACACATATATGCATACACACATGCAAACACATACACATAATATAAACACACATGAACACACACATACACATATAAACACACATGTACACAAAGTGAAAATATTAATTGAATTGAAGTAAAGACTTGTTGATTTGACTGTGTTGTTTTTTTTTAAAAAAAGCCTCCATTTTTCCATTTTTGCCCCTAAAAACTAAGCCTCTAATGGCAGACATACATGGGAAATCAGTAGATCCAGAAATAGAAGAATGAGTGCCTTATCACACCAGGCCCTCTGTTTCATGGGGAAGGCTCCTGGCATGTGATAATTACAATTGTGAACGGTCATTCCAGAACCTGGGTGTGCGTCAGTTTCGTGACTGACTACAAACAGTCATAGACAACATGGAGATGGTAGACGGGACTACGGATTCTCGGCTATGAAGGTAATGGACATTTTAGCCTATAACTAGCAGGAGGGCATGGGAGGGGTTCAAGCAGAGGAGAAGAGTCCTTGGTGCTGATTTTCTGATTCTGGTGTGTCTTTGTCATTCTATCTATGTTCCTGCTAGCCACTGAGAGGTGTAGCCGACTGTGTGCACTTTGACGTTCATGTAGTGCTTTAGGCTCTGGAACTGTACTTACAACCTAGATGCCAGGAAAATGGAAAAGGGAGCTGGGAAACATCTCTACAAAGAAGAACCGATCAAGACTAAATCATGCCGACCTGGGATCAAGATGGCTTCTTTCTCATTTTCCTGGACCAGCGACCTTCATTAAAGGAAGTGCTGCTACCCAAGCTGCAGCCTCCTCACAGGCAAGCAGAACCCGCATCTGGGTCCCCACAGATGAGGTGCAGAGTTACATTCATTTGTATGAGGCTCACAGACTTCTCCAAGCTGTAGCTCACTAGTAGGTGAACATTTCCTTTACTGGACATTAGAACGCAAATGTCTAGTGTGCAGAAATAAGAAAAAGATCAGGCCTGATCCACCAGGAATGCAGTGGGAATGGACAGGAGGGGAGTTCTTGGATGTTACACCTGAATAAATTGCTTAGAAATGTAGAAAAGTTGGCCAAGTCATCAAGGGAATGCCTCCGTTGTCCTACAGGCATTGCAGCCAATAAGGAAAAGGGGGAACACCGCTCTGGCCATGTAAAAAGTGAAGCTAACTCTTGAGGTGTGTCAGCTGTGAATCTGCAGATGGAGATGGACAGAAAACAGCACACAGAGAATGCAGGACATCCACGAACACTAGACACATGATTTCCAAATCTGTAACAGTAAGAAAGGTCAAACTGTCCACTTATCAGGCTCAACACTCTAGAATTTAACAAAATTCAAATATTGTCTAAACATTTAACAGTTTGCCAACAGTTGTGTGGCTGATCTAATACATGAAAACACAAGGCAGGGCAGACATCTCCACACTCCATGATGAGTTTGCTTCTTAATTTAGATGATGGTTCCACTCCATGAATACACCACAGAAGACGGGTTGGGGGTATCCAGAGGCTGTGCTGAGCCAAGATGAGGCAGGACTTCAGAGGGATGCCTGGCAGAGTCCAGGTTGCATGCCAGCCAGCACCTTGAAAACAGCTTTTCTAAGATCCAGGCTCAAGGGCACTGAGGTATTTGTATCAAACACACAGCTGTGCACATAACAGAGAAAATGACACAGGATGGCTTCTCCTCTAAAGAATTCTGGCTGAGGAAAAGATCTATGAATGAGGCCTTACCTTGGAATTACTCCCTATAAAATGTTCATAAAGTTTTAAAAATTTGGGCTGGGGATGTAACTCAGTTGGTAGAGTATTTGCTTGCCTAACAAGCACAAGGCCCTGGGTTCAATTCCCAGACTGGCATAAACAGGGCATACTGGCAAACACTCTATGTAACCTCAGCACTTGGGAGTCTGAGGCAAGTGTACCAGAAGCTCAAAGGTCATCTTTGGCTATCTTAGCAAGTTTGAGGCCAGCCTGAGCTACTTGGCTGTCCTGATTTAATTAACTAATTAAAAATTTTGTAATGTAATCATCAAAAGCTGCATTTTTATTTACATTAAATTGTTTAATTTTCTAAAATTTACATTAATTCTATTTAAACCTCATAAACTTTGGAGTTCACATCTGTGGTGGTTTGAAAAAAAATGGCCCCCAAAGGGAATGGCACTATTAGGAGGTGTGGCCTTGTTGGAGAAAGTGTGTCACTGTGGGGGTGGTCTTGGAGGTCTCTTTTGCTCAAGCTTCCCTCATTGTGACAGTCAGTTGACTTCCTGTTGCCTGCAAGATGTAGTAGTATTCTCAGCTCTAGCACCACATCTGCCTGCACACCACCATGCTCCTCATCGTGCTCATTATGGACTGAACCTCTAAAATTGTAAACAAGCCACCCTCAATTAAATGTTTTCTTTATAAGAATTCCTATGGTCATGGTGTCTCTTCACAGCAATAAAAAACCCAACTAAGACAGAAGTTGGTACCAGGGACTGGGGTATTGCTATTATAGGCCTGACCATTTGTTCCTTTGGAGGAATTTAGACTTTGGTGCTTTGGGTTTGGAAACCAGTGGAATGCTTTAAGCACTGCTTGATGGGCCACACTAGTAGGAGCATGGAAGACAGTGGTGCTAGGAGTTATCTGAACTGTGGGGGGCTCACTCAAAAGGTTTCAGAGAACTTTAGTATGTTGCCTAGAGATTGTTCTTGTGATATTTTGGTGAAGGAAGTGGCTGCATTTCGTCCTTGTCCAAAGAGTCTGCTTGAGGCTAGAGTGAAAAGTTTTGGATTAATTACATTTGGCAGAAGAAATCTCAAAACAGCCAAGTGTAGACTCTGTCATGTGGTTACTAGTGTTAACTCTAATGAAGATTTATAATGAAAGGAGCAAGCTGAGCAAGGAGAAATATTTGAGGAAAAAAGAAGCACCAGGAAGTGTAACGGGAGCTAAGTCCTGTGTTCAAGGAGATAAACAGATTAAGAAATGGAATAAAGGGAGTGGTGACCTCAGGGTAAGATCTCACCCAGCTAAGTTTCCAACTTGTGGAAAGGAATTAAAGAAAAGTTTAGAGCCGGGTGTGCTGGTGCACGCCTTTAATCCCAGCATTGGAAAGGCAGGGGCTCGTGGATCTCTGAGTCTGAGACCAGCCTAGTCTAAAGAGAAAGAATACAGAAAGCTGGTGAAGATGTAATTAAACGGGGGGGGGGGGGGGGGGGGGGTCATGTTCCAGCCCCAGTAAGCAGCAGAACTGGACAGCTTCGGCCACATGGTTCTGACTTTAGAGTTAAGGATAGAAGAAACAGGTTATAGAAGTTACCTCCGTGCCAAAGGATAGCCACTGAAGCCAAGCATGTGTCAGGGAAGCATGAGTCCTGAATGGAGGACTAATAGAGAGGCCTTCGTGTGAAGCTGTGAAGATGAAGCCTGGATTGCTTTGGAGAACCCAAGATGTTAGAGATGTCAGAGTCATGGGATACCTGCTGAGGAGAGCTGCTAACAGGGAGTGGAATCAGCCCACGAGAAAAGTGTGTTGTAGTCAGCAAAGCTAAAAGGAGTTGGAGATCTGAAGAGCATTTTGACATCAGACACGGATATGCAGTTTGGAGTTTGCCCAGCTCGTTTTGGGTCTTGCTTTGGCCCAGCATTTCCTCACTATGTTCCCTTCCCTGTGTTTTGGAATAGTAATGTATATCCTGTGCCATTATATGTTGGAAGTATGTGATATGATTTTTGATTTTGATTTTTATAGGTGATTACAGTTAAGGGATTGCCATGTGTCTCAGAAGAGACTTTGGACTTTGAAATATTGTTGAGACTGTGATAGACTATGGGGACTTTCAAAGTTGGACTGAATGCATTTTTTGTATTATGATATGGCTATAAGCCTTTGGGGGCCAGGGAGTGGTGGTTTGAAAGAAAATGGCCCCTAAATGGAGTGACACTATTAGGAGGTGTGGTCTTGGAGGAAGTGTGTTACTGTGAGGGGCAGGCTTTAAAATCTCTTTTTCTCAAGCTTCCCTCAGTGTAACAATCAGTGGACTTCCAGTTGCCTGCAAGATGTAGCCATCTCCATGTCTGCCTGCATGCTGCCATGCTCCCCATCATGATGATAATGGACTGAACCTCTGAAACTGTAATTGGGCCACCCTCAATTAAATGTTTTCTTTATAGGAGTTGCCGTGGTCATGGTGTCTCTTCACAGCAATAGAAACCCTAACTGAGACATCATATAGATTTTTCTGTTTTCCATTCCCCATCTTACTGACTGCTGATTTGTCGGTTTTAGGAACTGTGTTCTACATCTCCATTGGTTTTCCCAGCACATGCACAAACTACAGGAGCCATGGCAATAAACTTTCACCAGAAACAAAGACCAATCTTCCTGTTTCCCAGAAACACCCTCCGCACTCCCCAGAGAGCTGCACTCACAGTACCTGCAGGCGCTGCTTTTTTGCATCACTTCCGCCCGGTGGTAGCCAGAGAGCTTGCAGAATCCATCATTGCTGTACACAATAGGCCAGTCCACTATCTGGGCATTCCCCAACACAAAATTAGTATCTGTTTCAAAAGAAAAAGAAAGAGCACATGAGGCAAGACATTAGTCCACATGAGTAATGTCAGTAGTTCTACGCTTCTAGGTACAGTCTCTCAAACAGAACCACATTCCCAGGAGGAATGGGGAGAACTGAGAATTATGAATGTAAATGCTAACCAAGGTCAGTGTATCCTAGGAAAGGAAGTGTGTTCAGCCACCAACCCGGGAACCTACAGGAGTCTGTTGAGTTCCTCTGAGACAGGGTCAAGCCCCAATTTTTCATCCCTCTGGATGCACAACCATAATACAAAGCAGAAGAGTCAGAGCAGTTTCTTCTGAGCTCTGTGTGGCACCTTGGCCTTATTCTCTTGGCCAAAAGGCACAGATCGGCTTTACTGGCCCTGACTAGCCTTGGCCATTCTACAAGGCCTTTCTATGGAAGCAAGGGAAGTGGGTAGCGCACCACCTCATGGGACACACAGGAAAAACCTCATGAGGACAGTGGCAGACCCTCCTCTTGAGACTGCTGTAGAGAGCAGTCAAGGGGCTCTCACCACAGAACCTCCTCTGAGTCAGAAATCCTGCAGTCACAGAGACGCATGCCAATGGCCAGCCTCCCTCTCACTTGGGAGCCAGGGTTTTGGGAGGCAGACATGCAGGCTGGCTGAGTTGTCTTTTCATGGTTCTAATGTTTTGAAAAATCAAGTTATCATCAGTACCTTTTGTGCTCAGAAAATCAAGTGTCCCTCTTTTGATCTCAGTAATTTAAATTAAGCAAATAAAATAGGAGTCTTTGATGTAACCATTATTTTATCCTGGCTCCCTCCTCTCCACATATTCCCACTCACCTCACCCCCTAAAAGAAATACATACATACTCTTTTCTGTTATAAATTGGAGAGTATTTATATGTCATAAGTGTGCATACATATAGTGAAATAATGGCTCTTTCAAACGGGGAGGCTAATTTGTTCTAGAATAGCATTTCTATGCTTATGTGTGCATCAGTGAGTTACTATGAAACACAGTCAATCCCTAATTTTCCATATCACTGAATGCACACCAATAATACAAAGCAAGTTCATTAAGTGTGTATGTACCTGTCTGTGTGCACATGTGTGCATGAGTATATGTGTGCATGTAGTGGATATGTGCACGTGTGCATGAGTGTATGTGTGCATGCAGTAGATATGTACATGAATGTGTGTATGTGTGTGTGCATGTAGTGAATGTGTGTGAGTGTGTGTGGGGGTGTGTGTGATGTAGTGGATGTGCACACATGTGTGCATGTGTGTATATATGCATATAGAGGTCAGAGCTTGATGCTAGGTGTTTTCCTTTACTGCTCTCCAGCTAATTTTTGAGATAGGGTCTCTTACTGAACATGGAACTCATAGACTCTGCTAGGCTGGCTGGTGAGTGAACTCCAGGAATCCACCTGTTTCTGCCCATCTCAGCGCTGGAGTCACAGGTATGCGCCACTGTGCCCAGCCATTCGTGTGGGTGGTGTAGATGAAATGCAGGTCCCCAGGTCTGCAGCAGGCACTTTACCCACTGAGCCACCCCTCAGCCCCCAGGACAGTGTTTATAATCACTCAGTGTAGGTCACCACTCTTCCTGTCTTCAAGGAGTCGGACAGGCTGCTCTGCCCTCCAAAGATGAGTTTATTTCTTATTTGGCAGGTCTATAAAGATTATTACATTTCATAAAAGGAAAAAAAGAAAACACCAAAGACAGAGAATGCTTTAGTGCTCATGGAAAAGGCAAGGAGTGAGAGACACCAGTGGCCATGCTGAGCCAAGGCCTTTGACGAAGGTCCATCTTCCTTGAGAATAGCTCTATTTATTTATTACTATCATTATTAATCTCATTATTATTTTTGTTATTATTGTCATTATTATTATTGTTATGTGCATGCTGTGTGTATGGGCAGTCATCCTATGGAGTACCTGTAGAGGTCAGAGGACAATGTCATAGGGTCTGTTTACTCCTTCTACCTTAACATGGACTTTTGGGGATCAAACTCAGGTTGCCAGGCTTCTGTAGGAAGCCCCTTTACAACCAATGATCCTGGTTTGATCTCCTTAAAAGGGACATAAATACGGCTTTCAAGAAATGAAGGTGTACACCTGCTATTTTCACAGGTTAGCTTCTAATGAAAACTTACAACCAGCTCCTCACTCCATCTCACCCATACTTACATAAGAGCTTCTTAACTGTCTCTGTGTACCAAGTACAAGACAGGACTGCAGGGCAATCCAACCATGAGACATGGTCCCTCAACACAAGGAAATGCCAAGACAAATGGACATGGTCACGACCCCCTAAGAAGGAGGCAAGGAGGTGACACACGCCTGTCATCCCGGCAATCAGGAGATCCAGCAGAAAGACTGGCATACAAGGACAGCCAGGGCTATACAGCAAGGCCCTGTCTCAAAAACAAAACAAGGCCCAAAGTGACGGTGAGCACCATGATCACAGCACTCAGGAGGCTGAGGCAGGAGGATCCAGAGTTCAACGTTCTTGGCCACAAAGCACATTCAAGGCCAGCTTTGGCTCTATAAGGCCTGTCAGAATAATAAACAGAGGAGTCTGGGGAGGTAGCTCAGCGCATTAATCACTTGCTGTTCAGGCACAAGAAGCAGAGCTCAGACCCCTAAAACCCATGCAAAGCTGGGTATAGTAGTGTTTGTCTGAATGCCAGCACACAGGTGGGGAGATGTAGGCAGAGGCCAGGGACTCCCTGGACCAGACGGCCTGACACACACATCAGTCAGCAAAGCGCCCACACTACACATGAACACTCAGACATACACAAACAATTTAAAAGCCCCAAATGCATCCCTCCTCTCATAACCCTGTGTGGTGGTTTGAATGAGAATGGCTCCCATAGGCTCCTATATGTGAATGTTTGGTCTCCAGTTAGGTGGAACTGTTTAGGAAGGAGTAGGAGGTGTGGCCTTGTTGGAGTAGGTGTGTCACTGGGGTTGGGGTTGGAAGTTTCAAAAGCCTATGCCAGGTCATCTCTCTCTCTCTCTCTCTCTCTCTCTCTCTCTCTCTCTCTCTCTCCCTCCCTCCCTCCCTCCCTCCTTCCCTCCCTTTCCCATCTCCAGCTCGTTGATCAGATGTAAGCTCTCAGCTACTGCTCCAACACTATGCCTGCCTGCTGCCAAACCCCTGCCATGATCATGGGCTCACCTTCTGAAGCTGTAAGCAAGCCCCCAATTAAATACTTCCTTTTGTAAGTTGACTTGGTCATGGTGTTTCATCACAGCAACAGGAAGGTAACTAAGACACCCTGCAAGAGATCATATCTCCCTAGAAGCAGGACCCCCTTACCATCGGGTGCAGAAGGTCTAGGAAGCTCCAGAGGACTTGAGAGAAGGGAAGGAAGCTCCCATCTCAGCCCAAGGCTCCCAACAAGCATGGCTTTGTTTCCTCTCCGGTTCCCTCCATTCCTAACACATACATTCTCTTTTAACCCTAACTGTAAATAACGACCTGAACATTGCTATCCAGCACAGTGTGTTTGTATGTTAGGGGTACCCACACAACCCCATGATCTGCCATATATCATTAGGAATGAAGGGAGTCCTGTCAATGGCATTGCTGAGGGCAGGCGCCCTTAACTGGTATTTGCTCTGAGTCATGCTTTACTATAAGATGAGATTTTTCAACCTTTTCAGCAACCTTTATGAAGTGGTGTTACTAACAAAGCATCACAGATTTCATCATCAGATTCGTGGAGAAACTGAGTCTCTTTGGATACCCCATAGACAGTTAAATCCACGTGACTTCAAGGTTGGATAAAGCACAGGGACAAATAGCCAAACGAATGGAAACACATGAACTATGAACCAATGGCTGAGGGGCCCCCAACTGGATCAGGCCCTCTAAATGGGTGAGACAGTTGATTGGCTTGATCTGTTTGGGAGGCACCCAGGCAGTGGGACCGGGTCCTGTGCTCATTGCATGAGTTGGCTGTTTGAAACCTGGGGCTTATGCAGGGTCGCTTGGCTCGGCCTGGGAGGAGGGGACTGGACCTGCCTGGACTGAGTCTACCAGGTTGATCTCAGTCCTTGGGGGAGGCTTTGCCCTGGAGGAGGTGGGAATGGGGGGAAGGGGAGGGGGAATGGGAGGGGGGAGAACAAGGGAATCCATGGCTGATATGTAGAACTGAATTGTATTGTAAAATAAAAAAAAAAATCCACGTGACTTCAAAGTCCACACTTTTCATTATTTTATTACATAGTCTCCTTACTCCATTAAGTATTAAAATCAAACCAATTCTGTGATTTATCTGCCTCTGAAATTCTGGATATAATGAGACTTTTAATCGATGAATCAGCAGTCCACTCCTGCCATCATCAGTCATGATGCACAAGGGTGCCCTCAGGACGTGGGCAAAAGCTACTCCTCCTCCAGAGACTAGCTTCTCCATCTGCCTCCTCGATGTTCAGTCTCTTCCCTTGCTTGAAAACCTCTTCTTAGAACTTAGAATACTGATCTATTTCCAGAACATTCCTCCTGCCTCCACACAGTCACAGAAGGGACAGATGGGATGAGAGACAGGCGATGGGAAGGGAAGGGATGTGCCTGGCTCCCTATTTGATTCTTGGGGGTGGGAGAGAACTCCACCTTGGGTGACACACTTCTGGACCTGTCTCAGTTCCCCTGGTGTTGGGAGGGACAGGGAAGTTGCCATCTTCCCCACGGCTGATGGATTTGTATAAGTGGATGGTTATTATAGCAGATGCTATAGTCAGGCTGCCCAAGACAAGGACCAACAGAGTGGAAGGGCAAATAAATATTGTAGGTGATCAGAAAGTCTAGTGGGAACAGTGAAAAGATGGAGAGAGGGAAGGGAGGGACAGAAACACAGAAGGAGCAATAAATCACACCGAGAGAACGGAGAGAGACAGAAACAGACCAAGAAAGGCGTATCAGAGTCAGGGCAGGGGGACGAGTTCTGTTTAGTTCTAGAGAACAGAGCTAGAGCTGATGAGTATAAGCGTGGTCCCAAC